ACCGGTAACCGTAACCGTAAACCGTAACCGTAACCGTAACCGTAACCTACGTAACCGTAACGTACGTACGTACGTACGTACGTTTTGTGTGTGTGTGTGTGTGTGTGTGTGTGTGTGTGTGTGTGTGTGTGTGTGTGTGTGTGTGTGTGTGTGTGTGTGTGTGTGTACATGTATGTCTGAATTTGTATTTAACTTCATAGTGAGTTTGCGTTTTTGTGGTGCTGCCTGAACGTATAGCGAGATTGATTTACCCTATAGAGTGGACTCCCACGATGGACAGTGAAAATAAGTGAATCTACCATCATGCATTGCGCTTAAGGAAAATGGCAGAAAGAGAGAGAGTGGTGAAGTGCAATTGATTATAATCCATAGGTTATGGTGCAAAAATATGTTTGCAAATATAAAATGTGTGAGAAAATCAGCGCGTTGCAGTACAACACAATTATTCATCAAGTACTTTGTATTTGTTCATGAGTATAATATCATGCGAGTATTCAGCCCATTACCACGTGTGCCACAGTAATGACGTAATTCACAGCGCCGAAAAATAGTATTTCTCTAAAGGGTTTTTATTTTATTTTACAGATGAGCTCATCAAATAGTCTTCTATATATTCCACTTTTTCACATTATATATTTTATTTACTTTACGACATCTACTGTATTTTCCTCTATTCTGTTCCATTTCGGTTCTATTCAATTTAGATTTGTGTTGCATCAACTTGCATGGATGGATATAAAAGAAAAAAATGGAATGCACAGCTAGTATGTGACACAATCTTATCGCACATACACACAACCCCACACACACACACACATATATATAGTGAATCCCAAAAGACATATCTCTGTTGAGAGTTCACATGTGGGTTGTTAACACACTCATGCACGCCCCACATTGTTGAGCTCATCACTCAGCCTCTTCTGTGAGCGATTCTCAAACTGGGAGCAGCGGAAGAGGCGAGTTTCCTGCAGGACTAAAAATACTGCTGCCTCTGATCCTGCAGGACTGAGCAGAAGACGAGAGGAGGGATTGATGGCCTTTGGAGCACTTACAACTTGGATGTTCTCCGAGGTCGTCTTAAGAACCCGACCCCAGTTGTTTAGGTCAATCCCCTCCGAGCTGCTGTCCACAACCTTAGGCATCTGGGGAAACAAAGTCGTGAGACGCATCAGTCAAGTTAAAAATATTAATACTGTGTTTGAAATTGATACAGATAAAAATAGGGGGTTAAAAAACGTTTTTTCATTTGTATCAAAACCCATGGCGGCAATGCTAAAGTCATGTCCCGTGATGACAGATAAACACATTTATATCTAGCAAGAAACTGGCAACTCTAAGACAAAACTAAAGCGCTTGAAACAAAGGGTTTTTAATTAAAAGGAAATAACTTTTGCACACTTTCTTAAAACAGTTGCTTCTTCCAGCAAACTGCTCGTAGAAAACAGATCGGACGATGCGTCTTTTGTCATGTAATTTTGGTCTCTTCTGTATTTATGGAGAAAACAAGACAGGTTTTAATCAATCAGTTCGATTTGCTCTTCCCCTGGACCTCCTTCCATGACTTCATCTTGGGAAACCATTAGCATTAGGCGTACGAAAAGGCCTGGTCAGAGCAGAGTGCTGAGGGTAACGGAAACCCCGAATGCAAAGACAAACACGCACATGTGATATCCTTCCTCCTGCATTCCTCGCACTTGAATTTCAATGAACGAAGGAAGGAGGAAGGGGTCGCAGGGGGGGGAAAGAGAGAAAGCGAAGGAAAGGGAAGGGAGGCTGTTGAGAACTGGTTGGCAGAAGGGAGTAATGAGCGTAACAAGTTGTTTCATGGCAGAGATCAGTGTAGTAATGGGCTGTATAGAGCTAATGGGTTAAAGCAAAGATCCCTACTTAGATGTTAATATAGTACACAAAGGCTGGACATATGTTTGGTTTGTAGGTGTAACCAAAAACTAAAGGATCGGATATTGGGACGAAACTATTGTAAACCAATACGATCCATTTGGCCTTCAAATCTGTCAACAACTATCATAGATGTGTAGGCATTGAGTGGTAATTGTTGCCAGAATTATACACTTCAATTATAATGTATTTGTTATTTTAAATACTTTTATTCACATTTTTACTTAAAGTTGTAATTTAAAATGTAAATGTTTTGATGGTGCTGAGTGACCATTCAAATATGCCGCTTAATGTTCCATAAAGGACTGAGAAAAATATGAATATTATATATTATATTATATAATGGTACACTGATATCAGACTAATAATAATAATAATAATAATGATACATTACATTTATAAAGTGCTTTTCCTGGTGCTCAAAGCGCTTACAAGCAAGTAAAAAAAAATAACAACAAAAGTAGAAAGTGCTAAGCTAGGTGGAATAAGGGCAAGGGGTTAGTTCCAATCCAATCCAATCCATTTTATTTCTATAGCACATTTAAAAACAGCAGGGTTGAACAAAGTGCTGCACATCAACAACTATATAAAAAACATAGCATAAATACATGAAAAACAGACAGGACATGAAACAAATGTAAACACGAGACAATGAAACCAGATAAAAAGCCACAGACTGAAAAACTCTCCTCGAGATTTAAAAACGGGCAGAGTTGGAGCAAGTCTAACCTGGAGGAGTAATT